CAGGCATGGGATGTCTAATAGCGTTGTGTCTTTGAATACACTATGTGAAACGAGAGAATATTTCTCCTTGTTGCCCAGTGCATTTTCAAGAAGTTATTCTTTATATTGTAACATTGAACGTGGACGAAATCTCTCATATATCTTGAGAAAGAGCACACTTGACAGCGTCAGAAAACTCAGCTTGATATGTTCTGATACATTTGTAATCGTTCAAAAGCATTGTTTAGTTGTGCTGAAAAGTGTTTTGGAAAGTTGAAGTCTTTGAAGCTTCGTAGCATTTTTCGTGTAGTTTTCCACTTCAGCATTTTGAAATAACATACTCAATACATTTTTTGTAGGCAATTTCAAGACGCATCTTCTGAGAAAAAGATTAGTTTTTGAGAATGTAATGGAAAAAAGTTATAGCCAAAATATCGAGATGCTCATTTATTATGCGACACCCGGTAGATGGTTGTGCAAGTGGCCTTTAGTCGCGTATCAATGTTCGATCGAGATTGTCGCTCAGCAGAACAAAAGACGCACAGTTTTTATTGGTGTCGTTGTTGATGAACAAAAGCAGAAAGGCTACCGACATTCAATAGTACGCAGTGACGGCGCTTGTGGACGAGAATGGGGGTGGTACGTGTAAGTTAATTTCAATTCCACTCAAAATTAACGTTCAACTTTCTACGCAAATTAAGTTGGTCAATCAATTTCAGAGATGAATTTTGACTTCTCCCCTATAAAACTACCGAGAGAGTCATTAAGAAATGAGGATGACAACAACATGCACACAGATTGCATGACCAAGGAGACAACTGTTCGTCTTTGAAATTCGTTCTCTGTTCGTATTCGCTATAAAACCGAGAGAATGGTCTTGCAACGTGAACAAATAATAATTCGAAAATAATTTTACTCGTCTGAACTCAGTCCTATCGTTTCTTATTGGGCATCGTATACAATTTATTTGTTGCAGCTCAGTACTCCGGAAAAATTCCTTCTTTTCCTTCCTTTCCTTCTTTTGTTCCATTTTCCTTCTTTTTTTTTGAAAAAATCCTTCTCAAAATCCTTCTTCTTGGTACCCCCCTGGTGCGACCCCTGTAAGTTATAATATTCGAGCTTAATGTAAATGGCATGTGATTAAACTTCAAAACAAAATTAAATTGCAGACCGATTCTACACAGCAGAGAAGAGCAACAGAAAGTTAAAATAATCCTAGAAGAACTTCATTTCTAGTTGAAACGAAAAATTCATTTTCACTAAAGAAAATAACATATCATTGAAACTTATGGCTTCTATTAAAAAAGGAATTTTACTATATGTTTTTAGCGAGAGTAATGCGTCGCAGTTCATGTGAAAAAAAATATTATTGTTAATTACGTTTTACATTTGTTAGTTTAAAATTTGATATGTATGACATTGTTTATGAAAGTAGGTTCTTTTTAAGAAGGGTGTGGGTGTGAGCGATACCTATATTCAACTCACACTCACACCCACACCCTAATCTTATGGAAGCTTAAATCGTTGAAAGAAAAACTGAGAAGATTCTATTTGGATATTGATTCTAGGTTCGAAGAACGTATTGATCATATGATTTTAAGATTCTTTCTAAATTATGGAAAGATCTTTCTAAGAAGATAAGGAGGTTATTGCAGGAGTTAGCATTCTTCAAAATGTTGAGAAGTATAATGCTAATAGTATGTTACTTATCGACTGGAAAACATGGAGATTTAAGTCATAGTTTTTATTATCAGTAGCAGCGCTAACAAACTTAAGCTCTTTCCAGCATTTTTATAAGGATCTTGTAAGGGGAATGCTAAAAATAAGGATTTCAGGATGTTTTTCATTTGCTTGAAGAATATTTCAGATCACATGATTTTCTGAATGATAAATGGAAATCTACTGAAGAGACTTCTAAACAGGCGCTAGATTGATTTCTCTAAAAGAGTATCAGGTTTGTGTGAATATAAACCTGAGCAAACTTGGGAAGATTTGACGCTGATCGTTGGAAATACTAAGCGTATCGGAGCTCTCCATCATAAAACGTAGTGATCTGTAGATTTTAAGGATAATTGGAAAATTGTGGATGATAATAGGATCGTCAGATTTAGGAAAAAGATAAAATTTGAATTTTTTTTTGAAAGATGCGCAATTCAGTTCTCTATAAACTTGTATTTTCCTGCATTTAAACTAATACATAAATAATATAGAGATGAATAAAATAGAATGAAAGAAAAAATACCCATCCTCCCAAAAAAAATATACGTTTCAACATGTAAATAAAGCTTTCAAACTTAAAATAGTCGATATAAAGTCAACAACACATTAGAACACCCCCTCTCATAATTGATTTTTTAGTCTTTCTATCATGTTTATGTTTTTTTCTTCTAGATGTGTATTTCTAATGTTCTCTTCAAAAAATATTTTTCTGCCTTTCTGATACTCAATGCGATCTTTAATTCAATAATACAATATGTAATTAGCGGTTGTATGTACAGAACATGCAAAAAACACCGATTTGAGTTCGATTCGGTTGGTTGTTGGTTTCTGTGAAAAGAAATTCCTGGTACGATCAAGTTCAATTATTTTTTATTTACATCCTTCTCTTTTCACAAAAAGTCAACTATATGATGGTTTTCATAAATAAATAACCATAAACATGTCTTATGGATAATGATCTAATAGTAGATTTTCATCTTCAGTCGCTAAATATCGCTTTTGATCAANGATCAGCACCGAGCAAAAACGATGAAAAGACAACAAGTCCTATTGGTGGATTTCTTTTTGGTTATGTACTCTTTCGTATTTACAAGTTATTGTGGAACGGAACAGCTAGTTCTCAAGCCTAGCTCTATTTTTAAGATTTAGTTTTTGAATGAATTCAGATGGCAATGATTTTTGTAATGTATAATTCGTTTTTTGCGCTAATCAACAATTAAAAAAACATTATTCGAATAAATACTTTTTTTGATATAACATTATTGTTGAGTAGTAATTTGATGATTGTAAGTATAAGGTAAATGTATAAAATAAAATAATTTGTTTGTATGTTGTTAGTTGTCGTCGAGAAACTAAACGTTTATGCACATTTATTGATCGGTTTATACTTGATTTGAGTATTTTTATTCAACAGCCAATAATAAATTATTGATATTGATGACAATATGTACGTGAAGTGTCTATATAAATATAAAATGTTGATACACTATTAATTTCAATATAAAAATGAATATGCCATAAAAGTAATAGATGATTCAATTCCTATATGAATGGATGATTTAACAATATTTCTTGTGATAGCCGAATAAAATATTTGAATTAGATATGGTATTATTGAAATTAAATAAACAAAGACTTAAAACATTAACATGTCTAATAAGTAATAATCTTTTTTATGATTTTGAGATATACAAATAATATTTGGTCGAACTCAAGAATGATATTACATAAACAACGTATTGTAAAAAAAAAGCCATATGTAATTATTAATGTTGAAGGGAGAAAACCAGCAACAATAAATGAATAAATACTATACAATAAGACTATATTTTCCAGAAGCATTCCAACGCCATGATTTGATTGTTATAACGAAAACAAAATGTGAAGCATTAATTGGTCAAGCTAAACTTATTAAAATAATAAGATATATATATATATATTTGTCTACAATATATATATCAATCTGATTACTATAAAAAACAAATAAGGACCTATATTAGAATGTAATTCATTTGTAGATTGCTACACAGTCATGGTTGCTTTGGACAGATAGAAGTAAATTTTATTAAACTGACTGATATGACTTTTTACAATTTCATCAAAGAATTTTTTGTTTTATAGGCATGGCTATAGTCTTAAAAGACTGCATCTTTTGTTGACTATTGTACGTAAGGTTTTTGCTAAGATATTCATTAAGCACGTTTGTTCTCACTAGTATCGATATATAGCGTTAGAATGGTGGTTCGAGGATAGCCAACCATTTGAATATTAAACTATCGGTGAATACCTCCACTATAGTGCACGCTATATCAAAGAATTTTCCGGCGATTTTTTTCCTGTTCGAGTCATATGGATAAACACTTATTTTTTTATTGATTAAAAAGAAAAAGAAAATTTTATCATTTGAGCAAGTCTTTTAAATTTATATTTGAGTTAATGAAACTTGTTTAAAGTCGACATAGACCAAATGGATACATTGCTATGAATATGACAAGACATATAAGAAGAGAAATAGCAGCAATCGATGCAGTAATGATGATAATTGTACGATTAACAAATTGTGATGAATGAAAAGATTGTTTACTTGATGAAAGATTTCTATCTGTTAATTGGTCGAAATATTCTAAAGAAATTTCTGATGAATTGACTCCTAATTGATAATAACATATTGAATTTTTTATTTGACCTTGTATTTTATATATTTGTTGATGATATTGATTACATTTTCTATTTGAAGACGTAAATTGAATTAAATATCGACAAAGGCTACAGTTCATTAATTTAAAAAATAAATAAAATTCTTCATTTAATTTTGAATTTTCATTTCTCATCATTGTTATATTATAATAACATTGAAATGATATTGTTTGTGTCAATGTACCATTCTCAGATGTATAACGAGTTTCATAAGGAGCTGATTGATTGTGCTTAAAATACTGATTATGATGATTGATAAAACATATTGGTTGAAGATTAACTATTGAATAATCCGAAGCTTGATCATAAAAAGTCAATGTACGATTATATTCAAGATGTAACCGTCCATCAGGACATTGAATAAATAATTGAAACAAACTAAATTGTTCATACTGTTCTATTTGTATGCAAGTTGAATGAATACTAGTCGTGTTATTCAATGATTCGAGTTTACCATTGGGACATTTAAGAAATACTTGATCAGCATGAATAAAAACTGGAAAATTTTCACTATAGATCAGTTTGATATAAGTATACGTAAAAACTAGAAAAAAACAATGCTTAACAACGACCATAATCTGAATGGCTATCAGACAAATAACACTTTCGTACAGATTGAAACAATTAACTAGTATCTTGACTGATTTCACTCATTCGATGATAAAACAATACGATAATTGATTACAGGTATCCATACTCCTTTTTTTCCTCGTTAATAATCAATTCCAATGAGTCATATATTAAGAATAGATTGTAATTTCGAATAGAATAAAAAAAGACGTTACAAAAAAAACTAATTTGATTTTTTAAATAAAAAAAAATCAAATTTTAATCTTCATGTGTAACCTTATCAGTAATATTAATGAGAGAAAAAGTGTTTTTGATTACTAATTTTTATTCAAGTTGTGACTTTTCATTATCTCTCGTTGAATGCGCCTACACAAAACACACAACTACTCCTTCATCCATGTTCAGCATTTGGTTTTCAGAAATCAAACGAGTTTATATATGATTCAAGCAATTAGTGAATCGTGTGCGTGTATCTGAGAAAAAAACTACATATCCGTGTAAAAATATTGTTTCCCAGGTTAATACTCATATGCACATTTATCTAGGTCAATGGCTAGAGCTCATCATGTCCTAAATTATCGTACTCTAACCAATGCAACGGGCTCTATCAACAACACATTTAACTAATTGGTCTGATAGACAGTGGAGAAAACCACAGAGCGAAAATGAGGATATCAAAGAATGTGACGGTGAGGTTTTGTGTGATCTAAAGTAGCACCTGCATTCTATTGAGAAATAATAATGCAAAATGAATGCTGAAAAAATTTGATAATCAAAAATGTTGTTATTCTATTATTGAATACTAGAATGTTTTTAGTTTTTCTTTATTTTCTGAAGGTTGAAAGCATTTATAAAAATACTTTTACAAAAAAAAAACATCAATGCATTTTTTACTAGGTAAGAAAATATTTTCTTCGAATTTCAATTGATCTTTAGGATGAGATAAATAAGGTAACTATTATGGGAAAGATTTATTGTATGGTTTCAATTTGTTTACTAATACTATGGACGATAGCTATATACATTTATAAAGAAGCTGAATTAATGATTCAAGGATGTTTTTTATATGAATTTCAACTTAAAATAATCAAACAAAATTTGTTATGCATATTTAAATACTTAAAAAACATCAAGTGTTTTGTGACGTTAACACTAAATGTATCTTTCTTATCGATCTATTAATATTTTCGTTCTATTACACTAAATCTAATTGTATTAAAAATGTTCATCAATAAACATAATTAATTTTATTTTCAATTAGATTAATTATTTATGTAAAATCTTTTTCTATAAACAAAACTTTTTGCTTCATTAGTTTGCTCGGTGAAATGTTACTATAGATATTAATCTTTTTCGAATTTTTTGCTATTAGTATCTGTATGCAAGTGTAAAAAATAAATGTTTAGGTATGGCAATGATTGTCTTTATCAAAATAGCAACGATAGTTTTTTATGGATTCTCGAGCGCAAACAAACTGCAAATTTATGTAGGACGATCAATAAAAAAGAAATATTTATTTTTCTTGAACTATTTCTGCCAACACATTGGAGGCTGTTTAAGCGAGAAGAAGAAAAGTCTCTCTCGCTCTCTCGCTCTTTCTGTTTTTTTTTACGTCAAACAAATAAATGTTATTAGATCAAATAGTGAAAAAGAAATAAAAATCAGATACTATGTTAAATTTTACTTAATATTTAACAACATGATTTATTTTATTATATAAAACTGGCGTTTTCTTTTTTATATTGATTGAAGATCAAGATGTGGAAACGAATCAACAATGTTCCCGATAAGGTGAGAAAGGAAGTATATTGCTATTAAAAATATATATGAGACACTTAGGCAAAGTATTTTTTCCTTTTTTTGACTCGTCAAAATTGTTTACTAGTTTAATAATTGTAAAATAGACGTTTGATCTCATCAGTATTCAATTTGATGAGGAGAAATACTGTAATAATTATGCAAAAGAATATTAAACATAACTTCTATCTCAACCTATTAATTTGATTTATTGAAGACCTTTAATAATAAATAAATAAATAAATAAAATCATGATTTTTAGTCCTAACTTTGGATAGACTAATCAAATATAAAAGTAAATATTGATAATCTGTAACATTAATAATCATTGTGATTTGTTGTTTATTATATATTTCGTTCTATAATATTATGGAATTAAAATATTTATATATGAATAGCAGTTAGATTTCATAAGCGATATACAATTAGACTCTTAAACCTGTTTTCCTAATGAAAATATCACTGTTTCTAAAAATTGAAGTTATTACTTTTGAATATAACCTAGATGCACAAAGTATTTGCATAATATGTCTGATAAATTTATATTAAGAATTTTTTTGTGGCTTAAAGCTAGTTCATTAAGAACAAATCTTTGATGGGTTTGCTTATTTTTTCAGACATCTAGATATTATTGAAAAAGGTTAAAAGCAGTCAGTTAAAACCAAATTTGATGCTCTTTCTAAATGTAAGCCTAGAATTTGTTACTGACTTACGGCTTGTCATCTATGAATAAATATTTAAATAAATCAAAAATATTGTTTGTATTGAGCAACAAAACTCTTTTTCTGTTATTCATTACTTCTCTAAATGAAATTTTACAATAGCTTAGACTTTTTATTGTTGCACAGAATTTCATTTCTTATAATTTGAATCAAGATAATTTTTATCAAAATACAAAACTAAACTACACGAAACACTTTATACAGGCGCCAGTTTTGGTTTTCATCAAAAGTTTGTTTTCGATGAACTAATCTTGAGGCAGAAAAAAATTCTGAATACACAGTCAGAAAGAACATGAAATTTTGATTCTAGCTGACAACTTTTGATTCTCTTTGGTTACTGATAAGTAGACGAAAATTGACCAAACATGTTGTGCAAAGACTTTTCACACACAGGTTATTCTCTCGATTCGAATAGAAAATACTAATCGGACTCGGTCAGATCCAAGTCTGAAATATGTTAACTTTGAGAAGTATTCATCAATGAAAGATATCATATATGTTACTATTAAACGTAAAAAAGTTTCAGAATCATGAATCCAAAAACTTCTCAACAAAATTTAAAACTTTACTTTGTTTCACAAAGCTCTGTATTTATTATTTCGGTCTTCATATATGTGAATTGGATGGACGTTATTCGACAATTCATTCAAATATATATATATATAAAGGGTGTCCCATAAGTTCTGGGCCTCGACGAAAATTAGTTTCTATATAAATAAAGAGTGACCAATACCTAACTATATTTATATGAGCTTCGAGCCTTGAAGACGTTCTTTAGAATGACATATTATGAGATGACATTTCGTCAGCGCATAATGGTGATATAAGCATGAGAATGTTGATGATCAAAACGTTCGAATCGACCAGTGTGTTTTCAATGATCGAAAATAAGATATAGTTGATTTGCTAGAAGTTCGTATTAATGTGAAATCAAAGAAATGTCTTATTGAATTGAAAAAATATCAATAATAAATAATAAAATGTTCAAATCAAAATAAATCGAAAAAATAACAATGATAAACAATTAAATGGTCAGATCAACATGTGATTATTTGGAAGTATTCTTGATATACTCGACAAAAATGCACGAAATGAACTGTTCAAACTGAACAGAAAGTATAAATAAAGTATGCTTAGAGAAAACAATATTCCGAATAGAGAACGGAATACTTTCTTTCATTCTGTTGTCAAATGTTCATGATTCGCTCAGCTGGGGTATAAGTTAGGTGAAAACACGTGTAGTGCTTCATAATATCGATCAGAAAAGCGGCCGCAATACTTCGTATTACTTTCTATGATTCTTTCTCTATACATACAATCAGTTTGTAGTCCATTAAAATGTCTCGAAAACACACTGGTCGATTCGAACGTTTTGATCATCAACATTCTCATGCTTATATCACCATTATGAGCTGACGAAATGTCATCTCATAATATGCCATTCTAAAGAGCGTCTTCAAGGCTCGAAGCTCATACAAATATAGTTAGGTATTGGTCACTCTTTGCTTATATAGACAATAATTTTTATCAAGGCTCAGAACTTATGGGACACCCTTTATTCAATAAGTTTTATTACTTTAAAACTTTTGAATTTTCATTTGAGTGTCTAGCATCCAGAAAAAAAGTTAATTTTCATCAGAAAAATCGAAATTTGAGATAACTGTATGGGAAGATAGCCTAAGAACTAATCTTTTATAAATGATATAATTCTTTTATTTGGCATCTCCTTCGCCTTTGCTCTATTTATATTTTTCTGATCCCGTATCCGAAAGAGCTTCATTATAGTTAATTATTTTTCTTTTGTTTGAAAGAGCATAATGAACTGTAGAGTTCGTCTTGTTTTTGAAATGAGCTTTTTTATTATTATATAGAAAAGCATTTCTATAAATGGATAACGATTTTTTGAGTTTTTTAAGGTATTGAACTTGACACCCTTTTTCTCCGTATAAAGAGTAAGAATCTAAAAAGAAAGGACTCTGTCAGGCATTGCACTTTGATATGTTCTTTCAAATAAAAACAAAATTAAATCTATAGAATAAAAGCCTGCAGAGAATTTCTGGTTGCCAAAAGACCTACTTTTCACCTTTGTTTCTTATATACCTTCCGAAAACATCATAATATAGAACTGAAAATTTCAGCATAGCCTTTGCAAGAGATGTTGATTTATTTGATAATTATTTAAATATTGTGTTTTTTTCGTTTTGAAACAGTTGATAGTGAAATATTCGAATGTTCAGTTCATTCACCTTGAGATGATCCATTTTTTCATTTAATACAAGATGTATTTGTGATGTCATTTATCACAAACAATGAACAGCAGTTTCACCGCATTAGCCAGAAATAATGAAGAGAACAGGAAGCAAAACATAGTGCACGTGTACTCATATAAAAAGGCGTTAAAATAGCAATCGGAGGTATAGAAACAATGTTCAAGTTCAGAGTAAGATGGTGTTCGCCTATAGGAAATGCATTTCTAGCAAAAATCGCTTCATAAAACCAAGATCTAGTTCAAAATGGAAGGTATTAACTAATAGAGGTTTCATTATTCTATATCATATTGCATGGCTAATAATAATCATAATTACCTAGTATTGCTTAGCATCTGCTTTTTCTAATTATTTGTTTGCACTTCATAGGTATAATCGTCAAGAGAAAAACAATAAAGAAATGCAACTTACGATTTAAACCGATTAAAAACTGCTCGTTTTGTTTTTGCACGTTCTTCTTTGTTCTTCATCTCAATTTTTCTCTTAACACTAAAAAGCTTCTCTTGACAGGGCGTATTAGCAACTGAAAACAATTATACTTTGCCTATGCAGGCAACAAAGTTATTGTTGACATCTTTACTCATTTTTTTCTCTCTTTTCAAGTACTTTTATCACCAGACATACTAAAGTGAGAATAATAACTACGAAAACTATGCTTGAACATCGTTGGCCAACATACAAGAAACAGAAAAATTTTGAATTGACATTCGTGGTTAGTTTTCAAAGTTTCAAATAAAAATTATAAGATGTCATTTCTTTTGCTGCATTAGTTTTATTAATATCGTATTAGAAAAATTTCATGTCATATATTTTCTTTTCTTTTTTGTTGTGCGTGTATAAAAAGATTCATGTGAATATTTTTTTTTCTTTATTAATAGGATACATCAATATCTGAGAAAAAAATGCGTTATTTTATATTTTATCCACCAAGTAAAACATTAAGATTAATTGATGTTAATGAAAATGATCGTGCTGAAGATATTCTTGAATTAATGAAAAAAGAATATGGTCTTCAGTATCATGATCGTGGTTCATCTGAAACAACAATTGTTCTTACTTATAATGGTAGTGATCTTAAACCAAAATGGACATTTGGTGACTTAAATATTCCGTCAGGATCAATTATTCGTTGTATATCAAAACAACAAACAGCAGCTGATCTTTATATTCATTGTGGATTTAATAAACAAATATTTAAATTATTTGATTCATCAATTACAAATGAAACAACAATTGGTACAATACGAAAAAAAATTTCAGATAAATTAGGTTTACCTTTAAGTACATTTTGTCTTGAAACATATGATGGTAAACAACGTTTATATGATGAAATGAAATTATTCAATTATGATATTAAAGTTCATGATCATATTTATTTAAAAGTATGGCAAGGATATGAAAAATTTGTAAATTCTTGTGTCAAAGGTTTTACAGAACATTATTCTCATGATGATCTCATTCGACATTATCAAACACAAGTAGCATTACATATTGCTGCTTTTTATGGTAAGATTTTCATTTTTAAGCTCGTTTTAACCACGTATTTGAACGCAATGTTGCATATCTGAAGGATTACATTGTGTTTCATATTTTAATTCCTCAGCTATTGCATTAATAGTCTTTTTTTTTTGTAAAATTTAGAAAAAGATATAATTCATCTACATCGCACGTATTGATACAAAAATTTTAATAGTACGGTCAAAACATTGAGTTTTTCAAGCGTTTGAAGATGGCTATCAATTTTTTTTTTCATTTATTCAAGTTTCCAGAGAATAGATCCGAAAAGACTGATATTTTTATGTATGAAAGTTAAAGTCTCAAAGTATTATTTATTTAATTTTTCTACTTAACATTTTATCGCAAAACTTGTGATACGTTCACGTAGAGAAAAAATGATTTCCGACGTGCATTTCAAAATAAGGATGAGATCATTTGTCGATTGATTTATTTTAATGTTTTCATTAAGGTCATACGGATTTGGCTAGATCTGTTATGGAACAAGGTGCACGAAGTGATCGTCCTGTAGGTGAACATCCATCTCGTCAATGGTCATCTGAAATTAGTACTAAAATTTTACCTGAAATGCTTAAATGTCCTATTCATATAGCTATTGAACGGGGACATATTAAAATGGTTGATCTCTTTGTTCGACAATCAATTTTATGCACACAAGTACGAGATCCTATAATGAATCATTTACCTTATCAATTAGTTAATTCTTATTTATTATCAGCAAAAACTAAAGAAGAAAAGCAACGTTATAGTGAAATTTATTTCTATTTAAAAGATAAACAATTTAATTTAAAAATACCATTAAATGCTACTGGTGAATATGTTACAAATTTATTATCATCTACAACTACTGCTAATACAGTTCATCATATGTCAATGTTTCTTAGATTTGTTTCATTACCAATTTATTGTAAAATTATAAGGTAATACAAAATCTTAATTACGAATCTATAACGCGAAAGTCTCGGTACAAAATTTTCATTCATTTTTCAGCTATTAAAAGACAACTTATTCGAGTGATCTTAGTTTTTGTCGTAGACCAACCTCAACTTAACACTTTTGTAGAGCAATGAATTATGTACAAAATGAGATATTACAATAAGCAAAACCTCATCTCTGCGTTTCCATTAAAACAAAAATATCTGAAACTTTTACAATAAGCCATTGTCGCTAAGACCTGTTTTTATGCAAATTTTCAAGTCGAAATGAAAAAAACCAATTTTCTTGATGTTTCTGACAGGGATTAACTACGATATTGTATTGAAAAGTACCGCAAAAATGCACTATATCGGTAGGAATAAGATATGGGTCCGAACTCTCTTCAGGATAATTCATAGCTCATTTGGATCTACATAATGCACATAGTCTCAATACAACTGCGATCGAACAGTGGTGACTTTCCTTTATCAGAAGCAAATTCTAAACATATACTTGGGAAAAACAAACAATTCTTATTCTGACTAATTGCTTCCAGCTATAAGCAGCTGTGTTTAAATGACCGAAAAATAGATACATATTTTGTGCGAAGACTTTCGTACAATAGATTATTCAAATATCTCTATTCAAGATTATATATTATTTGTTTTCTAGTTGGTATGAACGAGCACGTGAACGAGCATGGAAAAAATACGGTGGACGTTTTTATACAACAACGCAAACAAAACGTATTTATCCTGAAACAGGTTTACTTGGTTATAAAGTATTAATTGATGGTTATAATAATAAATTTGAAGTACCAATAGAACAACTTCGAGGTGCACGTTCAAGTAATTCATCAAAATCGGATCAAATGATTCGTTATGCTGGTTTTAGTGATGAAGAAAGAGCAAAAATAATTCGAATGAAAGCACACATAAAACAATTTGCATTAGATGAACGACGACGTGCTAAACAAATAGCTGCTGTAAATCTTCAACAATCACGTCGACCACCACTATTATTATCTCAAATGTCAACAGATTTAAACAAACATGCAATAATAGAAGGCATTTCATCATTATCAGAATTTTCTAGTAGTCAAGTTTTATCATGTATTTCAGGATTAGATATAAAACCGATTGTAGAAACAGATAATTCATCAATTACTAGTTTATTACAATCGACATTAGTTAATCCTATTCGATCAGAAAGTAAATTAAATAAAGAATTTATTGATTTTATATTTAACCAATTATTTTATTTAGCTTCTCATGAATCAAAAGACAAACCTAAACGAACATCAAAAATTCATCAACTAACATCACGTATGTCAGTTGTTAATGAAGAACATAAACATACATTACCGATTATCAATTCGTCAACAACAAATTCAATCTCAACAAATAAATTAGATAGAGTTGTTAATGCTAATAAACAAGTTTTTCAACCAAAAATGTCATCAGTTGATGCTTATTTAGCATCATCATCTCATCTTGATTTAGAAATTGAGCAAAATAAAACAACTAAAGTATGTGAATTATTTACCCAAAATGAACAATTAATGCAACAACAACAGCAATCTAAAGAATCAATAGTAACTTCAACTAATCCACTTAGTAGTTCACTTCCTGTTGATCGTACTCAAATGCTTGATCTTGATTCTTATATACCTTTACCAGATCATCCAAATAATACATCGATTGGTCCAATAAAATCTCGTCTTGATCTTGAAATTCGTCAATCAACAATTAAATCCTATGAACGTTACGCAAGTGCATCAACACGATCAACAGCTATTGATTGTTTACAAGAAGCTGCTTTTTTTAAAAAAAAACCATGGATTAAAAAAGTTGAAATAAGTAAAGAAATGGTTAAACATAAAGTTCAACAACGTATTCGTCGTGCTAATAATGAAAAAAATAAAAAACCAATAATATCACCACTTCGTACTACTGTTTCAAGATCATCACATAAATCAGATACAGTTAAAGTTAATTAAATTATTTTATCTCTTGATTTTATTTTTCAATAAAAACAAAAAGAATAAGAAAAATCTTAGAAAGTATTGATGCGATAAAATAAAAATGATAAAGGGTTGTTTGTTTTTTTCTAAAATCGGGTAGATTATCATAATGAAGCATAGTTCTTTTAATTAAACGACAAAGACATATAGTAAATCATGAGCATGTATGACAAACTAAAATGAGAATAAAAACAATTGTTTTTTTTCTTTCTGTATCAAATATTATCTATATTTACCAAGAGCAGAACCAAGTTTTCTGCATGGAATTTTAAAAAGTTTCTTACGACAACGATTACAACGAGCACATTCGAGATGATAATAACGTGTATCATGTTTAAATGCTTCTTCATCACTTGTTACCGGTCGTGTACATTTGTCACATATTGGTATACGACCTGCTTGATCACATAGAACCGTAGTTACTTCGCCAAGTTTATTTTCGAGATGTGGAGCATGTTCTTTGCCTTGATATGTTCCAGTTATATGTTTCGAACATGTTAAACATTGAAAACGTCCATCTAGCATATCAACAAAATTGTGACCTAAATTTATTCCATATAAGATAAAATTAAAATAATCAGAAGAGTATGAACATTTACCATCGGGTATAACTGCATTACATTTCAAACAACTAAACAAAAGTATTATTCATTAAAAATATTGTCAGGAAAAAAAAGCTTTTCTACCGAAAACAATCACTATGATAATGACGATCTTGATATCGTTTTGCTGTAGTACCTGATTGAATTTTTTGGTTACAAATGCAACAACTAAAGAATAAAAATTGCGTGTCTTGTTTAGTAAATTAAAAATTCTCTTTGCTGTTTTACATACATTGGTGCAAGTGCAAAATTACAACTTTCACATTGAAATTGATTATTTGGTTTAGGATAAAATGGTTTTCCAGCTAATGTATTTCCACAACTTGCACAACAAAAACAATGTGGATGGTAATATTTCTCTTGATACATTTGCATAGCATCTTTCTGTGTAAATGCTTGCTGACATTTTTCACAAAATGTTTTCGTCAATGGACGATTTACTGTTGGACCAGCGGACATAATTGTTATGTTCGTGAAAAACTCTAGAAAAAAAACCTACAGACAAAATACGACGCAATAGAATGAAACAGCAAAAAGAAAGATGGATACTGTGTGTTTATCTCAGATTTTTTTTTCTCTTTTCTGATATGTGAGGGCCACTTTTCAGTCTTATGCACTTCTCTTTCTGGTATTTTCTCCTGCTCCTGCATATTCTATATAGTAGTAATACATACAACTGTATTGATGGGAATATTCGTCGGTCGGTTGTTGTGTTTTTTGTTTATTCTTTCCTCTATCCAAAAATAACTCAAGCTTTCTCTTTAGCCTGTCATGATGATTATCAATGTGGTGGTATTTTAGTGCGTAGGTTGTACTCTAATATATATATATATATATGCAACGGATCAAATGACAATTAAATGAATGAATATGCTTTGAAATATTTCCTCAGTTCTATCATTTTCGACTTGTTATTCATCTAATTAGTTTACTGAAAAAATGGATATGATCTGCTTGATTTAATTGTGTTTATATATATTTCTCTTCGTTTGTTTGTGTGTCGAACTGCATGATTTTGTTAGACTAAACGAACTATTCTTTATGAACATCTATAATAGACTTAATCGATATTGTGTTTGATTTGCTGAACAGAAAATACCATTAGCATAATATAGCCATGACTTGTGCAACTACTAGATTGATAGACGTACGTAGGTCTGTCTGTATGTTGCATAGTAGAAGTCGTCGTACATGATAATCTGACTGATAATAAATAAATAACATCTAAATAGAATAGACGAATGTTCTTTTTTTGTAAGAATCTAACACTATTCTATATAATTCATTGATTGACAACGGTTTGGAAAGATGCAATATTTATGAGTGATAGTTATTGACTTTGTTTTCTCATCGATAAATATACCTCAATGCAATATAAAAGTTACATAACATTTACTGGTTTTTATTGATTCTTTATATACTTTGTACAACATGATTGAAAAGGAGTGTTGAAGTAAAGGAGTAGAAATATGAATCCACCCCTTCCCCACACAGACTTGTCAGACATTATCACGAGATCAAAGTTCAACTATCAAATACTATTTCCGAAGATTTGAAAGAATAAAAAGTAACTTGACAAATTCATAGAACATGAACACTAGCTCCATCTATGATTACAATCAAAACACGCCATCGATGTAGAGGTATTCACTTAGATTTATGCTAAAACACTAGATAATAATGTTGTATAAGAATTAGTCAAAAAATCAATGATCAATATAATTCACAATTGAAAAACAAATGGTTTTCTATAAAGTTTATTCTCAAGAACGTCGTATTCGTTATTTCGCTCGTCCATGTTCGACTGCTATTTTGTTTCAAATAAGTTGTCTTTTTCTTACTTTTCTACCACCATTATTTACTGGTTATTTTACAAGTGGATTTTATTATAAAGAATTAACTTATAGTGAACAAGCTAATGTAACATTTCTTGAAGAATATCATTTAATTATTGATTCGATATCGTCACTTCGATTTTCTTCATCTGATGCACGTTTAAACAATTATTTTGGTTCAAGTTATTATCCAGGTATTCTTAGAACTTATTTACCACGAGATGTTGATGATGATGGTATCAATGATCAACACAACATAACATTAACTGTAATTTTACCAAGTACTATTTCAGATCAAATTATCAATCTTTGGCTTCAATTTCAATATTCACTCAATCGATATCCGTTAATGAAGATGAAAACACTTGGATTAATATCACTTAAAGCTCCTTCATTGTTATCAGCAACCAGTAGTAAAGTAACTGTCTATGGACAACTTCGTTTTCATCAACGTGAACCAATATTAAGTTATGAAAATTATTCATCTCTTCAAGATCCAATTATAGATTTTGGAACTTATTCACTTGTGCCATCATTTGATGATATATTAGATAAATATAGTTCTCGTAATTATTTTACAACATTTGATCAACAATATGTTCAATGGTCATCATCACCTTCAACCAGCAGTTTCGTACAATTAACAATTAATGTTATTGTTAATATAGGTCCACAAGTATATCGTTATGTACCAAGTTTTTGGAAAGAATTTCGTTGGTCATGGATTCAATATTTTACTAGTTTATTACCATTTTTTTATATTGCCAATAAAGTAAAAGAATTTGTATTTAGTAATGGACTTGTACGAACTGTTATTAGAAAATTTCCTTAGTTATATCTGTATATATTACAAATTCATTGATTTGAATTAAGATAGTGGAATTTAAATTCTTCATTTCTTGCACAATGATCAAATAAAGATCATGCTTGTGTGTTTTCTCCATCATATTGTTGTATTATACTGAAAAAAATACAATGAACTAATGTTGTTGTTGTTTTTTTTGTATTGAAAAATATTTGAAATAAAATGTTTACTAGAGTCCTTTGACCTTAAATTTAGGTTGAGAAATGGTTTATGTAATCACTTTTTCTGAAATGAATTCTCGTTACGTTACCACCATATTTGGATATTTGTTTGTGACATAAGCTTTTCAAATTTATATATTTTACATAGATGACAATGGATTTATACAGACCATAGTAATCACATATAATATGATCATTTTGTATATTTTTCTACTTTTGTTTTTTCTTCATATTGAGTGTTGACTCTTTGGCTCTCGATAATTCGAACTGTACAATAATAAAAATCGAATATAAAATAAATTCTTATCTTTTCCTTCCTGCCGCATTGTATGATTGAATATGAATCTGTATTTCTTCATAGGTCTCTTATTGTTGGGTCTATTAGAGTAAAAGAAAAACTTTGCATTCAATTTCGTAGCTAGCTATCAATGAGAATATTTTTTTATACGTATTATATTCTTCTATAGCTTTCGATATCAGTCTTATGCAATATCTTGACAGATACATGCTCATTTCTAATCTGAAAAAACAACTGAAAAGATCGCAATATGTTTGATGAAGTTGATTATTTCACTTTGATCTTCAATATTGATGAATTGGAATATAATTTGTTGTTTTTTTACAAGATCAATTTTTTCAAGTTATTGATTTTGTACAAAAAGAAAAGAACGAATATGCTAGCATAATAATTTATAAAGTTCATTATACTGATGTCATGAATATGCAAGATATAAACAAAACGTTTTTTACACACGAGTTTTGAACAAAAATATTTTCACATTATTAATAATGCAATCCAAGCACAAGTACATATTGTATGGCAATTAATTTACAATTATATGACAAAAATTGATTTGTTTGGATGAATATTTTCAAACAAATACACTCTAAATTTTGAATGATTTATTCAAACGAACATTTGTTGTTCTTGACAAAATAACGCATACTTGTGTCAAAATACTAATTTCAAACATTCTACGAATAGTAACCACCATATACGTTATTCAATATCTTTCTAAAGCAAAATAATCAATAGTTACAAAACTAGAATGTTTTCTTTTTCAATAAAACTGAAAACTGCAAGTTTTATTTAGATACTTCTTTACTACTTCAAACAGTTTTCACAATTTTGTCAAGCAACGAAAAAAAAAGTTTACACGCCAATGCATAGACAAGAATCGTCTTGTTACTAAGTTCGAGACTAAAAGACTCCTTATCAATCATATCTGACACATTCAATTCCCTTTGTTGTTCTCTTGATAAAGCATTTGTGAATGACAATGTCGTAAATAAGTACGATGAAGTTGATAAATTCTTTGAAAAAACAAACACATTGTATAAATATCCAAACAAACTATTGCACTACCAATGGGAAGCTCAATGTAAGCAGCTGTACTTGATAAACCGATTTTCTATCGAAGAAAAAATAAATCGTTATTGATATAAAATCATACTTCAACTTAATAAAAACTAGCTTGAGAACGGTTTTGTTATACTATTACATTTAATAAATTCTTTTAGTTGTATGAAAGCTTTTAGTTTTAAATGTTTCGTTTCCTGCTACAGTTTATACAGCTGAATTTTGCACTCATCTTCGAACATTTAACTACACCTATAGTATCATTATCTAATCTATTACAATATTCATAATAATTTTCAACGCTAATTCTATCAAAACGTTCAATATCAACTGTTGACTTTATGTCACTTTTCAATAGCTTAGTTAAGTGCTTCAATTTCACATTTCGATTACTCAATTCGATAATACCTAGTTGTCTGATTTTCTATAGCATTGAATTATGATATTTTATTGTGGTTTAACTGTTTCATTCCGATAAACATCGATGGACATCTATAAAAAAAAACTGTTTCACACCTGATCTTTCTTCTTACGAAAAGATACATAGTCAATAATACTTTTAGTCTTACAAAGTATGAGCGTTTTTTTGAAAACAATTGTAGTTCTTCTTGCTTACCACTGTACAGTGTCCGATATACATGACTATAACAGTTGTTGAAGTGAAGGTAATTATAGAATAAATAAGAAATTGAATATATTCATCATGTGGTATGACATACTGTTCTTTTGCTTTGGAAGAAACAAAACGATTGATGATGATAAAAAGCGATGTTTTCTTACAAATACATTCTTTCGTTGATTCAGTTTAATTTCTTTCATAAAATAACATTTACTTCCGAAGGTATATCTGAGACTTCTATTTGGAGAGACTGGTTATGAAAAGATAGTATATTCTCAGTACAAAAACGATTTCATGACCTATCCTTGGTCGTATGAGCTCCTTTTCTCTTTGTTTCAGCTATAAATAACATTAAAAAAAAACAAGAAAGAAGGATCGCCATCCTTGATATTTCTATGAAGGCACGGTGTATCACTTTCTACGCTATTTGCTCTTTTAGTTATAAAGTTTTTCGTCGGATCTTTATCGTAGTTCTTCCTGTACTTTTCTTGCTTGTTAATTTGTTCATGGTTGATTATCATTTGTTGTCTTTTTTTATATAAGGTGTTTGGAGTCTCACAATGATTGGATATATTCATTTCAATTTTGTCAGTAGTGATCATTATTTCAGATTTGTTCCATTAACATCATTAGAAGACAATAATTTTTTATGAAATGTCATTGTGGTGCTAGGACAACATATTGCACGAACATTTAATAGCAATAGTATTCTCTAATACTAATTTATATTTACTTTTTCATTGATGAAGTGATGTATGGTAAATTAAGATTGAAACGCTTAATTCAACGACTATAGAAAGTATTAGAGATGATACTAAACATTAAAGTTCGATTTTCGATCTACATTTAACATAAAACTAGTTAGATTTAACCAATGATTGACACAACATTGGCACTAATTTTGATGATATCTCACATGTGAGGGCATTTCTTCATCCCATGGACATTATAATCATTAAGTAGAAAACAAATATGATATCTTTTTTGTCATGCCAAGATTCATCATAATGGTATAACTAGTATTCGAAGCCCGAACTTTAGCCATTAGAAATATCTTCAATAATTTTTATTATCGTTGAATTACAGGTATGACAATCTGGTGTATATTAAATATAAAAAAGAATAATACCAACTATTGATAATTCATAGAAAAGTAAATTGAAAAATAAGAAACCATAATAACGCTTTTTTGAACCAGATTCAACACGATCAATCCATGATTCATGTCATCAAAATTATCAAATATATTAATTTACGAATTACTTAAAAATTTCCAAATGAACAAACTTAATTGATAAAAGTAATCGAACAAGAATAAAATACATTAAAAAAATTTATACAAATTTAATAAACTTTGTTTTTCAATTCACCATAAATCCAACAATTATTCCAGTAATCATAAGTGATCGAGTAAAACCATTATTTAGAATTAAAAAAATTTGCAATTACTAAAACAATAAGTATTATTAATTTAAAATCCCAAAAAACATTTTGAATTTTGCTTGAAAACCTTTTGACGTTTTAACATTGTATATGAAATTTTTCATTTCATTATTTACCGTTCTACAATAACTTATATCATCATTAGACATAATAATAAAAAAGTATTTACAAAAGAATATATATATATAGACTAGATTAATTTCAATGTTCAATGACTCATCGACCATAAGTATTGGGTTATGAACTTCATCTAGTCAATAAATATTTCCATATGTAAATATTTTTATTATTATGTGTAATGATGATATAAGCTATGGTCGAAAGTTGTTAAATAAACAAATGAAATGTTTTATATCTATTTTCTACTTGATCTTTCGTTTTATAAAAAAATCTATTTCTTGTTAAAAGTTCATATCATATTATTGAGTTCAATTTCTTTTCGCACATCAATTCACCGTTGGTACTAAAAAAAAGCAACCATTTCATAAGCAGAGAAGTATATACGTGCCAGAGAACGTCACAGGACGTTGTTTTTCGTTCTGTCCTGTTTCCTGCAGGACATTATCACACAGCTATCCTGTTTTGCAGGGCAAAGAACCCTTCTGCGTCCGGCTTGCAGGACAAATTTTTCATTGCATTCTTTAGAAAGATAAAATGCTTGTCTAAATATGAAGTACAATGTCAAATATCATATATTACCAAACGTTAGATAGTAGCATGTTATCTGCTCTCTCTCTCTTGTGCTTTTCTTCTCTTCTGTTATTCTATTGTTATTGATGTTACTATTCGATATGTGTGATGAATTTTTTCTTTCGTTCTCTTCTTCTTTATTTACTTTTTTCTTTTCTTTCCTTTCCTTTGTTTTATATATTGTTTTCTTTTCTCTTGATATTTCACAGATGATTTTTCCTTCCCATGTGAAAACAAGACGCCTAAAACTCAGATTAAAATCTATCATTATGGTACTATTTTGATCTGATTAAAATCAGATTTTTCAGCATTGAAAGAAAAAATTATTTTGATTTTAATCTTTTTTAATCGATTAAATAATTTAACAATCAGTTTTAATGGATTAAATTTTGGTAATCGATTAAAATAGTGTCATTATAACACGTAGGATATCTTATCACCCGATTCGAGTATTTCTTATCTCGATTCGATTTCGAATGGATTCCAATCTCGTTCTCATGGTTTCCAAGTGTAACTCGATGAGCTCTATCGATTTCAGGGGTCTGTTTCCCCCACACCCTCCTTATCCCCCAAAAAACCCAAAATATCGCTAGAAAAATGCCTAAAAAACACGAAAAATTAAGAACTATCATCCCCGATTCGCTCCTAAGCCGATTCCAATTTCATTCTCATGGTTTCCAAGTGTAACTCGACGAGCTCTATCGATTCCACGGGTCTATTTTATCACAAGACCATAGTTGACGTTTCATTGTTGCAATTTCAGCATCATGTCTTTCTGTACCTGAGATTTGTGCACGAAATGTTGGTGATCCGTTGAAATCCACGCTATCTGCAAGTTTAATAAAATATGATCTAGTACAATACTTACCTGTACACTTAGAACGACACCAAAAATATTTACAGCGTCGTTTTCTTTTTCCTTTTTTGATATGGGCTTTAAAGAACTGTAATGCACATGTAATTCCAAATGAAGTTAGTTTGTCGGAAAATATTTTTGTCCAACCATCATGCAATTCTTTTTTTGTGGAACTAAGTACAGCTTTCCATTCAGTTGCAGTCAAAATAAATGATACTTCACTGACGGTTGACTGTTCAACAATATTACCATTTACAGTTTTTGCCTTATGAGTACGTGTATTCGGCGGTTCAGGTAATGGTAATGATGGATCAGGTAGTAATTGTACATTATTATTCTTTTGAACAGATACTTCTTCTTTTGCACTGATATTATCATTATCTCCAGCAATTATATTTTTCTTTCTTCTTTCTAATTCTTTTTTGACGCGTTCAGGAACGCAATGAACTGTTGATCTCCATATTCAGTATTATCAAGTTCTAATTTTTTAATAAGTTGCTCCCAAAGTGAAGTCGATAATTTTGTTTTAGCATTTAATCGCAAAGTCTCGTGATTTAGTTCTTCATAACGATCGCCAAGTGAAGCAATAGCAGCGACTATTTCTTCTAGATCAGTAAGTGTCCAGATATCCTTACCTACTTTATGTGAATTTGGATCAGACGTCATTTGACTATATCAATGTAATTAAATTGTAATAAAAACAATTTACTGATTCAGCCAAGAGCACTACCAAAATTTGTGACTAAATAAATAGCTGTTGTCTATCAATGTGATTAACTGAGAATAAATGAATGACGTTTTTTTCTTCACTATTAGAGAATATTTCAAACCGACCAATAGATATTACAGTATTGTCATATAGAAAAAATTCATTTGACGACATCCGGCGAGAAAAATAACTTTTTCATATAATATCTTTTCATCTATCCAATCAGGTACACCACTTAGATGATGAAAAGCAAAGGATGATACAATTTTGTAGATGATCGTATCGAAAAAACAACGTCTTTTCTTTCACATTTTATTTTTTCTTTATGATATCAGATTTTGTTTTAACAATTTTTTATTTCAAAGATAAAAGCCATTGCCACAAGATGCGTTTAGATGAATATCTGACCCGTCGAAAGAGGACTAATCTTATATATACAATTTATTATTCAAAATGTAATGTAATTCAATTAGCAACATATGAAATATATTTTGGCATGGAAATTATAATCATAAATTCTTTCTTTACAAAACTGATCATCTCTCTAATTTCTAGAATACTAATTTTATCGTTCAAGATTTAAGAAAGTGAAAAAAATATTTTCCTTTGTAGTACAATTTCACTTATTAATTTATTTATTAATTTTATTTCCTTTGAGATAAATTCCATCAAAANAGTGCCGTTTTGTTCATATTTCCATATAAAGTTGCTGCCCTTCTATTCAAAACTGAAAACCGCAGGTCTCTAGCTGTTTCCTAGCCGAAGTTATTCAACTTACAACCGACTGCATTGTTCATTGAAATGGATATTAGTCATAGGTAATCAAAACACAAAGTGTGAAGCAACATTTTACAAAGTAACAATTCTATTTTCTTGTAAATGCTTCTTTCTTTACATGCATATAGTTTGGTTTTATGCTATAGAAGTGTAACGAGTGGAGTAAACTCATTTCTTATCTACTTTTCATTATTTCATCTATTCTATCATTCTTACAGATAAAATATCATTAACTATATGTTTCAACACAACTTTGTGTTCATTTTAGATCTGTCTTAGCTGGCAGATAGTAACACAAATACGAAATTTATATGATGGATGTGTTTCTTATTGGCAAGAACACATTTCATTGCTCTCACTTACATATCTATTTCAAACTATAATAAAAATAATGTAACTTTTGAAGTCTAGTACTTTTAGATTTTAAGAAATACGTTTGAATAGTTTTCTTGAACATTCAATTGAATGAATATTGACTATTATTTCCCATCGAATGCATCACAAACAACTTAACATCAGACAATTCTTTGCATAAGATATCTGTTTTCAATGAAATCTTTATACAAAATTCGTTAAAAATAAAAATAATCAACCAAAATCATTGTATTAAAATCTACAGACAACATTCTTAATCAATCACAAGAAGTATATCTCTGATATTCTTTTTGCCTGGTTGTTCATATATTCTATTGATAATTTTTCAAGTAGATTCATCCATAAATACCTATGTTAAATATTGATATGATTAAATGTTGAATAATAGAATGCTGATTTTCAAAATGTTAAGTAGCAAAATGCATTTATGTCAAAATACATCGGAACGAAAAATAAGTTATAAAGTCTTCATATGTATGAGGCCAACTGTCAAAATCGATGGTTTCGTAACACAATAAGTACATATTAATTTAGTGAATTTTTTAAAATTTATTACTAAAACAGATTCATTATTTCCCTTGTTTAAATTTTAATAAAACGTTAAAAATAAAGTCTTATGTTGAAATGAAAACAAATATATTAAAACTCAATTGAATTTTTAAAGCTCAGATAAGAGAATGGAAGTGCAGAGGTGAAAAGTGAACTGAAAACAAATGGAATTATAAAGTTCATGTATATAAAAACGATTCAGTGAGTTCTTGAGTAGTTAGGTGATGAAGTAAATGTTGTAGCTGAAGACTAATCTGAAAAAAATAAATCGTTTGAAAATTATGCAGATTAAAATATTCTTGCAACATGAAAATATATTTCTTTCAATTATGAACGGTCTGTGTGATAGGCCCTAGAATGTATGACAATGTCATACAAGACGGTAGACAAAAACGGATCTACGACAACTGGTCAAACAACAATTACTTGCAATGCTGAAAAATAAAAACGGCAAAAAACAACTTGTTCAATATTATTGAGAAATAACTCAGAGAAGTCTAGAAAATAACTAATTATCTATATTAGAACAAGGAATATTAGATATGAGTGTAAATACGAATGTTAAATCAACTTTTGTAATTGAGTATGAACCCTTACATGATAGCAAATAGTAGTAGTTTTCAAAATGTCTTATAATCCATCAAAATTTTTCATACTTTGCAGTTTCGTAACATTTTCATAAGTGGCGACTAATTGTTGTTAAATATTCAGGAACTAGAACATTAAGATCCCTAATTTTTTTCTTGAAATATGTATTCAAGGAATGTCGAACGTAAGAATTTTTTTTTAACTTAGTGTTTTACATTAATGGAGTTAATCATCTCGTTTATGTTAACGTAAGTAAAAAACAATGACATTTCTAATTCAATATAAACACATCGAGCTCGTTTTAAATTATCCTAAGTCATTCGTCATGAGAAGCATAATCACCTTGCAAATCGAGTGAATGTGTATTGGAAACATTCGTCAATTGAGGACTAATATAATTGAGCAGAGCTACATCCGTTCCATCCATTCCTTGCGCTCTGTCAATTTCACTCGTTTCTTGTGAACCTTTTTCCGCAGGTTGATTACTTTGATTCATGATTGTAAATTTACACGTGTACTAAAAAAAAGATACGCTTGCAACTTCTCAAATATTGCGTGAAGCATGTAAAAGACATTGGTTTGAACATCTCGTTATAGATTAATTAAAATTTTCTTTTAATGAAAACTTATCAATCGTTAATTGCACGTGTACGTTTTGATAATCTCATTTCACCTCAAATTCGTTGTTTCTTTTTGTTTCACTGTATATTTGTCTGTTTTGTTTTGCCTAGTGTCATCTTTCATATAATACTCAAATTGTAAAGCACTGTTTCGTTTTTTTTGTTGAGTGCATGTAGCATTTTGTTCTTTTCTTTCTTTTAGCATCATCGCAAATAATCCGTTCTTTCTTTATTGAACTATGTGAATTAGTTTTAATGGTTAAGTGAAGTATATAATTAAAACCACGGAATGCTCTTCTGATTTTTTTAAAGGAATTCAATGGCTTTCATATTAGAATTTGAATATAAATAAAGGTAAACTAAAAATCTAAATTCTCTTTACAAAATGACTTTGATAGAGAAGTATTCCAGCTTCCGAATGACGCGTTTGAATAAAAAAAAAAGATTTCATACTTACAATTCTTTCTTAGAAAATAATCGAATAAAATGTTCAGTTAAATTTAAACCCAACCGGCTGTTATTTTTTTTCTTCCTTTTTTCTAGGAAATAATTAGCATTCTCGAACTATAACATATCATTTAAAAACTGAAAGACTATTTTATCGAACTCACATCTCAAATAAGAATTCAATCTTGATGTCAACTCGACAAAAGAAAACAATGCAGAACTCTACTAATTTACTTACTCGTGTAATAGACGAATTTATGTTGTGAGAATAAGAAGCCAGCAAATATTAACAATGAACTAATAAGAAAAGCTTAGTAGTATTTATACTCATTGACATTCATCGTGCATTATTATTGGCAAAAGCCAAATTATTTTCATGGGTTTTTTTCCATTTTATCATGATTGAAAAAGTGGAGCACTAGACGGAATTTTCATTGTACGTGAAAGAATTTCATATTGTCATTATATAGCATGGATACATCCATTTGCGTTCTAAATATAGGTCAGATTCATTTCATTCATTCTAAGAAACGTTTCATAAGTGGTTTTTAAAACAAATTTGAAAGGATTTTTTTATATAATACATATTGAGTCAATATGTATTATAACGCGTTCACTTTTTGTTTAAAAAGGGATCCTGATTTATACAAATTAATAATTTTTTTTATCATTGACCAAAGTTGATTTCTTTTTATTCAAAGATAACAAGTTAGATGAAATCGATTTTGCTACTAAGAAAGTAAATTAAGTAATCAATTGTTCAATTTTTAGATAAAAACCTATGTGACTTTGATAGCGTATTATAGAATGTCATCCATAAATATATCATCGCAACCAGACAGTTGTCATACGTGAATTTACTCATTCATAATATTTTTTTCTCAACGTATTACAAAAAAATAAAATGCTTTCGAATCTATATGATTTCATACAATAATAAGTTAACTTTGTAAAATATTATTTGTTGAACAATTATTATACATTAATAATGCAAAACATTAAAAGACTCACTGATCATCATAAAACATGGTAGCACTGTAGTGAATGACTTAAAATAATAATTAGTATTGATTGTTTCGTAAAATTCATAATGATAATAGCTAGCATGCTGTTTTGTATAGATGTAAATCTTTTAAAATACATTTAAAGTATTTCGAGATTGACTCAATGATTAGTGACAGCAATTTTATGACCAAATGTTGTATACCTTTTAAACACTTGATGAATTTCAATTCAGTATTTTCCATTCTCGAATACAATAAGAATAATCGTCATATTTCCTTGGCCATCTTATATTGCAGAATATTCCTTGATTTGAAGACTGTTCAGTGAATGACATCAAATGTTTCGTAATTCAATAAAATTACTTAAAAAAAAAAACAGTACTGCTTTAATACCAGGATAATGTTTAATAGATAGATTCATGATCTAAAATCCACATTGACTGTATTGTATGAAAAATATTAACGAACGCGAACGATTCAGCAAAACAAAATGTATAAAAAAGTTAATTTTATCGAAGAGTAATTCAGGCTACTATTGTTATAAATACATTAGAGGCAAAGGCTCATTTTTCGCTTTGAAGCTGAAAAATATGTGTC